AATGCACTGAAAGACTCACGATTATGCAGCAGCCCTAGTGTGAACCTAGGCTAATGCAGGCCATAGATGGGTCAAAAATCGGCTGGTTTTCGGATCGTTAGTGGGTTAATAGGTTGGCCGTTTTTTCGGTATTTTGGCAGATTTTTTTTTTTTTCATCGGTAAAGTTTGACAAAAATCGGCCGATTTTCACAGCAATGTTGGGCAAATCGGCTAATCTTTTTACCGATAAAAAATCTGCGCATGAGCAGTGACCTGCAAGAGGAAGATAAAAAGAAGAAGAGGATGAAGAAGAGGAAGAAGAAGAGGAAGAGGAAGAAGAAGAAGAGGAAGAAGAGGAAGAGGAAGAAGAAGAAGAAGAAGAAGAGGAAGAGGAGGAAGAAGAGAAAGAAGAGGATGAAGAAGAGAAAGAAGAGGATGAAGAAGAGAAAGAAAGAGATGAAGAAGAGAAAGAAGAGGATGAAGAAGAAGAGGATGAAGAAGAAGAGGATGAAGAAGAAGAGGATGAAGAAGAAGAGGATATGATGAAGAAGAAGAAGAAGAAGAGGATGAAGAAGAAGAATTCCAGTTTGGCAAAAAGTGTCCCTGCAGAGAGTTCCGCTATTTCTTTGACATTTTATAGCGGTTGCAACATTGTATCTGTTTGTTTCCAAATAAAAAACATCTGTATCCAAAATGGATACAAATAGATACAATGTTGCAGCCGCTATAACTGTCAAAGAAATAGCGGAGCTCTCTGCAGAGACACTTTTTGCCGGCTGTAGACGGTATGAAAATCGTCCGATATTTTTTTTTTTTACCGTTCCTGGTAACGTCGGCCGATTGAACGGCCGATTTTCTGTTTTTTTAAAGAAAAATCAGCCCGGTTTTCTCCCCATCTATGGCCTGCATAAGTCAATGAACATAATTCTTTTTTCAGTTAGTCTATGTAAATCTGTAATTGCAGCGTAAAGCAATAACATTTATGATTGAAGCCGTGTTATTAAACTGCACTGATATTTGTTCAGCATCCGCACGCCATGACTGACATTTGTGGAATTGGGCAGAGCCGAACTGGTTAATGACAGTTTCCATGGCAAGCAGATGTGAAAGAAAATATTGGTGACCGGCATCTACATCCATGGAGTGTTTTCTTTCATCTCTCCTCTCATTTGCAATGAAGCAGCGGATAATGATGCTTCACATAGATGCAGGTTTTCAAATGTAATTACAAGCCAATTTCACAGGCAACAGTTTACCAACAGGGCAATTACAGCTTGGCTCTAATATGCTTTTAGCCTTTTTCAGTCACATAACATTTAGGATTTTGCCCTCTTAGAAGCACGGGGAGATAGAAAATCAATCACACAAAATGCCTTATAGCATTGAACATCACATTGCAGGTACACTTGATTTGCCAATACCAGCTCTGTCTGTCATATAAATTGATAGATAATCAGCAGCTCTGCTAGAACAATAAATACTGGAAGAAATATTTGCTTTTATTGGAAGAATGATTACATTCCAATTCAGCAACTCCTGTTGAGAACTGGAATTGCATTGGAATATGCTGTGCCCTTTATTGCTGAAAATTGTCTTGTAGTTACAAAACATATTTGTAGAACCATACAAAACTGCATGTACATTTGTTCTGTGCGAATGCCAAGAAAAATCAAATGCTACTAGGCATCTAGTTCAATAATTTATTCACAACAATGGTATAAATCAGGAAAACAACAGATTATGACCAATAGATAGAGATGGTAATCATAGAAATTAATTTGATCTCCAAATACGGAAAGGTTTCTTCACAGTGAGAGCTGTGAAAATGTGAAAGACTCCCTCAAGAGTTGATTCTGGCCAGCTCAGTGGATTGCTTTTAAAAAAAACACCTGGATTCTTTCTTAGATACACAGAATATAACTGGATACTAACATTTATAGGTAAACTTGATCCAGGGAATATCCGATTGCCTCTCGGGGGATCAGGAAGGAATTTTTTTCCACTGCAGGAGCAAATTGGATCGTGCTTTGCTAGTATTTTTGCCTTCCTCTGGATAAACTGTGGGTATAGGATAACTTTTTTTTTCGGTTAACCTGGATGAACGTTTGTCTGTTTTCCAGACTAACTATGTAAATATTGACATGGATAAGGTTTGAGGTTGCCTCTACCAAGGGTTCACTTCAAATCTCTGAAAGGTTTGGGAATCACCAACAAAATAAAAAAACAACCTATAAAGCAGTGCATAGGCTTAGAGTCATAAGAGAATCATTTTGAAGGAATGGATAACCAAGCTCACCCCCCCCCCCCCCCCCCCACCACCACCACCAAGTATCTGGCTTTCCTCACATTTTGTTTTATAAAAGTTTGCATAGTAGTACTATAAATGAGCAGAATTTGAAACCAAGATTAGCCCCAAAGGACATCGGTATGGTTCAAGTGCGACCTTTACGACCCTGGTAGGTCTGGCACTGCAAAGAGCCATCAATCATGCACATGGTGCATCAAATATTTTATTCCAAAATGTAAATTCTAAACTTTTTTTAAACCTAAACTATAACTAAAGACAAAGCTTTAGGTTTTTTTTTTTTCCAGTTTTGGATAGAGTGGGGAGCGATTAGAACACCTTTCGAGGTTTTAACTGCTGTCTGAACCACAATTAGGTATATTCACCCTCTTTATTTTTCCTGTTATCACTGAGAGTGAAAGAAAATCTTAAATAATGGGTTGCCATCAGAACAGGAAGAGAGGAGAAATCTTCCAATGAAGACACTTATTGTGGTGACCCTAGTGATAGCCAGGGATTCTCTCACTTTGGAGGTATTTGCACTCGCTTCCTGTTTTGGCTATGGGACAGGCTGTGAGGGGAAATATACCCATTGGGACACCAGAATTACTGTCCCCAATAGAAGATTTCACAGATGGCAAAAACTGACAGGGGTTATAACCCTCTTTTACCCAAAACGAAAAATAGTTTTACAATTTAAGGGGGCATCCTCTACTCTGAGCAGTCAGGCTACAACAATATATGGAAGAATTAAGTTTTTAGCATCTTTAATGTATGTTAAAAAAAAATATATATATATATATATATAAAAACGGACTACTTTTTATACTTAGGCCTACACACACACGCTACTTTATTAGGTATACCTTGCTAGTACCGGGTTGGACCCCCTTTTGCCTTCAGAACTGCCTTATTTCTTTGTGGCATAGATTCAACAAAGTGTTGGAAACATTCCTCAGAGATTTTGGTCCATATTGACATAATAGCTGAATGCAGTTGCTGCAGATTTGTTGGCTGCACATCCATGATGCGAATCTCCTGGTCCACCACATCCCAAAGGTGCTCTATTGGATTGAGAATGCATTGACATGTTCAAGAAACCAGTTTGAATTTATCTGAGCTTTGTGATATGCTGCATTATCCTGCTGGAAGTAGCCATCAGAAGATGGGTACACTGGCATCCGGTGTGGTCTTTTGCTGCTGTAGCGCATCTGCGTCAAGGCTCAACGTATTGTGCATTCAGAAATCGTATTCTGCATACCTTGGTAGTAACTGGTTATTTGAACAATTGTTGCCTTTCTATCATCTTGAACAAGTCTGCCAATTCTCCTCTGACAGCAAGAAGGCATTTATGTCCACACAACTGCCGCTCACTGGATATTTTATAATTTTTGGACCATTCTTTGTAAACCCTAGAGATGCTTGTGCGTGAAAATCAGTTCAGCAGTTTTTTAAATACTCAGAACAACCAGTCTGTCACCAGTTACCACGCCATGTTCAAAGTCACCTAAATTCCCTTTCTTCCCCATTCTGATGCTCGTTTTGAACTTCAGCAAGTCATCTTCACCACATCTAGATGTCTAACTGCATTGAGTTGCTGCCATGTGATTGGCTGATTAGCAATTTGCGCTACCAAACAATTGAACAGGTATATCAATAAATAAAGGTGCAGCGCTAGATATTTATAAAAATTTGACAAAATGGAATAAAAACATAAAACATAGAATGTATGGTAGCAATATAATCAAGTGCAAAAATAGTGCAAAATTGTCAATCACACTGTGGTGAAATTAAGTGGATAAATGTCCCAAATAGCTGAAAAATTGCCCACGTGGGGATCCAGTAGATCCTAATAGAGTGCGTGGGGCCAGAGTCCAGTGTGCCACACAGTGGATATAATATAAAGAATGCGCACTCACCAGAAGTGCGTCAAACATGCGCATATGAGATTTTCCTGTCTCATCAGGTATTGGTCATCTACTGCCAAAACAGGGTCAGGGTCATACACCATCCAATCTTCTCTAGGATAGGTACTCCAAAAGCCTTATTGCATGTCACTGTCAAGGGTCCCTTTAAGCAGGTCCTGCAAGTGGGAACTCTGACAAAATGATAGGTCCAGACTTTCTGACTGGTCCAATTCTTTTGGAATGGCTGGTGGTGAGGTGACTACTGGTGTGCTCACCATCATGGCCTGGTGTAACTGTCTTTAACATGCTCCTCCATCTCATCCACTGACCAGTTATATATGGCACTATCATAGGATGACAAGCTCTGAAGAAAGTGAATGCAGTCTGAAGGTTGATGGGATTTCACTTTGAGCTGCCTGCTTGTGCAAAACAAGCTGCTATTAAATGGGGTTGGGAAGCGATATCCAAGGCATCCAGAGTGCTTTCCCTATCCTCATTCTGATCGCAAATAAGTCTGTCCCACTCTTCCATCAGAAGACGGGCTATGTCATTCCAGATGTTTTTTTGTGGAGAAGGTCCACATACCAGGTTAGAAAACTCTTATCATAATCTCCTTTTTTGAAACTCCGGTTTTATAAATCCACTTAGCCAAAGTTCCAGCAAGCATAAGCTAATTGAACAGGTATACCTAATAAAGTGGCCAGTGAGTGTACACACACAAAAACGTCATCTACTCTTGGGAAAAAAAAAGAAATGGCACATTACTGACATTCACAAAGGCAGCAAAAAACAGTGTTCAATTACACAGTGCAGAAAAGTTGTTTCTTACCTGAATTACTCCTCCACCTTCGCCTTTACTTCCGGCTAGGAATTCCTCTGGCAGACCTATCACCTTCCCCAACCAGTCCAACATAACTGTCTCCAGCTCTGTGCATGCCGGACTTGAAGCCTTAAATTACACAAATGGCCAACAAAATGAATCAAAGTGGACTTTTATATGTTCTCTAATTTTGTTCAGAGCTTAAAAGTGACTACACATACAGTCAGGTCCATAAATATTGGGACCGACACAATTGTAACATTTTTGGCTCTATACACCACAATGGATTTGAAACAAAACAAACAAGATGTTCTTTAACTGCAGACTGTCAGATTTAATTTGAGGGTATTTACATCTAGGTAATCAGGTGACCGGTGTAGGAATTACAACAGTTTGCATATGTGCCTCCCACTTGTTAAGGGACCAAAAGTAATGAGACAATTGGCTTCTCAGCTGTTCCATGGCTAGGTGTGTGTTATTCCCTCATTATCCCAATTACAATGAGCAGGTAAAAGGTCCAGAGTTCATTTCAAGTGTGCTATTTGCATTTGGGAATCTGTTGCTGTCAACTCTCAAGATGAGATCCAAAGAGCTGTCACTATCAGTGAAGCAAGCGATCATTAGGCTGAAAAAACAAAACAAACCCATCAGAGCGATAGCAAAAACATTAGGCGTGGCCAAAACAACTGTTTGGAACATTCTTAAAAAGAAGGAACGCAACGGTGAGCTCAGCAACACCAGAAGACCCGGAAGACCACGGAAAACAACTGTGGTGGATGACCGAAGAATTCTTTCCTTGGTGAAGAAAACACCCTTCACAACAGTTGGCCAGATCAAGAACACTCTCCAGGAGGTAGGTGTATGTGTGTCAAAGTCAACAATCAAGAGAAGACTTCACCAGAGTGAATACAGAGGGTTCACCACAAGATGGAATCCATTGGTGAGCCTCAAAAACAGGAAGGCCAGATTAGAGTTTGCCAAACGACATGTAAAAAAGCCTTCACAGTTCTGGAACAACATCCTATGGACAGATGAGACCGACATCAACTTGTACCAGAGTTATGGGAAGAGCTGGCAGTCTGCAGTTAAAGCACATCTTGTTCGTTTCATTTCAAATCCATTGTGGTGGTGTATAGAGCCAAAAATGTTAGAATTGTGTCGATGTCCCAATATTTATGGACCTGACTGTATGCAAAAATTCTTATCCTAGTGCTGTATGGGGTTATGGACTTTTAAGGCACTCAGATATAAGATGGCTAAAAAAACAGAAGTACTGTATATTTGTTCACAGGAATGTACAATTACTTCCATTGTCTCTAAGCAGGTGTCAGGTGACTTCTCACATAAGTACATTTTTTATGGGAGTTTAGTTCTACTTTCAATGCTGCTTGAAGATAAAAGAAAACATTTCGGAGAAATCCCCCTCAGAAAAAGCTACTCAGCTTGTATGGTCTAGTGCTAGTCCCATTTCCCTTTTGTACTTCATCCATAAAAACAGACTTTTTTGGCTACATTGGCCATATGCTAGGTAGCTTCCCATTTATGCCAATACTTTACCAAAAACTCTAAATGTCAACGCAATAATCATTTATTTGAAGGTGAAGTTCACCATTGAGAACATGTTACATGTTTCACCCATTTTTAGGGTGGAACATGTTCCCATAGCCGTAGCCGCGCCCCCCCCCCCCTCCTCTGACCGATAGTACAGGGAGATGTCTCCCAGTACTGTCTTTCAATTTTAAAATAGTGTGGCCGTGCACACAGCTCCGCCCACATGGCCATGTCATTCCTTGACTTGTTTGAATGAAAAAACTGCAAGGCAGCACAGTGGCTAAATGGTTAGCACTTCATCCTGGCAGTACTCGGGTCACTGGTTCGAATCCCAGGCACGGCACCACCTGCCTGGAATTTGCATGTTCTCCCTGTGCCTGTGTGGGTTTCCTCTGGGTACTCCGGTTTCCTCCCACACCCAAAGACATGTTACTAGGTGAATTGGATCCTGTCTAAATTGGCCCTAGTATATATGCATGTATGAATGAATGTAAGTTAGGGACCAGGGGCGGACTGACAACTCATGGGGCCCCTGGGCAATAGGGGATCATGGGGCCCCTGTGTCCTTGCCCAAACTCAAAAAAGCCTATGAAAAAGGTACCAGGGCATCTCATGGGGCCCCCTACTGACCTCGGGCAGTGCCCGAGTTTCCAAATGGTCAGTCCGCCCCTGTTAGGGACCTTAGATTGTACGCCCCTTGAGGGTTAGGGACTGATGTCAATGTACAATACATATGTAAAGCGCTGTGTAAATTGATGGCGCTATATAAGTACCTGAAATAAATAAGTCCCAGCAGCCTTAGCAGCTGTGGGTTTGTAGTTTTCAATGAACTACTACGATGCTGTGGTAGTTCATTGAAGCCTCCTGTCAGAATATCTGCTTGACCGTTCATCCCCTATGACTAGTAGATATTCTGACAGGTCTGCAGGAGACCTGCATGGCATCAGCAATCTACTGATCACTGGTGCAATGCTTTCCAGGCTCCTGTAGACAAAAATAATAAATGGACATTTTTTTTTTACCTACAAAAAAAATGTGCATATATTATTTTTGTTTAAAAGGTGAACTTATCCTTTAAGGCTGACCTTTGGGTACAAACACTCATTTAAATATTTTCCTCAAAAGCTAAAGGATATAAATCCACTTTGTGTGCACCAAATGCCTTTGGCTGCCTGCAGAAACCTACAGGGGGAGGATACAAGACCAGTCACTCTGTACAAGGCGATAGATCAGCTGTAACAAGTCTTTATGACAGCAAGCTCTTGCACAAAAAACATTTCATACTAAATACAGTAATTGCGTAGATCTGGAAGAAATACACAAAGAGTAACAATATTCAAGCATGAATACACATGGTTCTTGTGTTTAGAGAATATTTTTTGTATCCCAGAGTTCAACTTTAATTCATATTACTTGGAAATATATGTCTCTATTACTGAATTCTGTGCTGCTTGCCATGAGACCTGAACTAAACATACACCAGCAAAAAACATAAAAAGAAATAAACAAAATAATCCTAAAACAAGAACAAGTGTGTAAATCCACGTCACATGAGAGGCAACGTTCTTCATACTTACCCAAGTAAAGCCAATACATCCTATAGCTCCACACAACATGTCAGCAAGCATGCCTGGATATGAACTGGCAGTGGGGAAATATGCAAAGAAAAAAGGACTGTGCCAATGTGTTACCTAAGAAATAGAAAATTGTTTAGAATGAAAATAGTTTATGACAAATAAGTCAAACCACATGATAGAAGGTACAACCTTTAAAATATATTCTGCCATCTCCCGTGTCTACATCAGTGGTGGGTAGCCTAAAAGATTGTGGTGGTCTCTGATGTGACATTTTGCCCTATGAACAGATGATATACAATGCTATTTTACTTTAACCACTTGCCCTCCTGAGGATTTACCCCCCTTAATGACCACGCCTCTTTTTGCTACTCGGCGCTGCACTAATTCAACTGATAATTGCGCGGTCATGCAATGCTGCACCCAAACGAAATTTACGTCCTTTTTTTCACACAAATAGAGCTTTCTTTCGGTCGTATTTGACCAATACGTGTAAATTAATTGTTTTACGTGAAAGTTATAGCGTTTACAAATGGCGGGAAAGATACTGGGATTTTTAGTTTTTTTTTATACTAATAATGGCGGCGATCAGCGAATTATGGCAGCGACCAGCGACTTATGGCGGGACTGCGGCAGACATTCTGACATTGGGGGGTACTGACTTGGGGTCACTGACATCCCCAAAAACACTAATACAGTGATCAGTGCAAAAAAAAAAAAAAAACAAACACTGACACTGTACTAATGGCAATGTGGAGGAAGGGGTTAACTTTATTTTGCAGGGAATGGTTATCTGTGTGAGGGGGAGTATTTTACTAGGGGGCGTATGTGTGTGCTGGATGGGGACACCGCTGATCGAGAGAGAGAAAGTCTTCTTTCTCGATCAGCTTGTCCTTGAGCTGTCAGGGAAGTGACAGACAGCACAGCTACTGCAGCTGTGCTGTCTGTCACTGTTTGCCGCCGATCGCCGGGAAACAGCCGGTAAGGACCGGCTGTGACCCGGCGACTGACATCTGCGGCGGTGATCGGCGGGACAGATAGGGCGGCGGCGCGCCTCGTGCGCACCCCCTATCTGTTTACAAAACACACGTTTTGAAACGTGGTTTTGCCTGCCCGTGTGCCGCCCGTATTTCTACAGTGGCAGGGCGGCAAGTGGTTAAAAAACCTAAGAAAGCCAGCTATTCTATTCAACAATAATATACACAACTGCTACTGTACATTCATGTTGTAGCAAGGTTTATCATCATTAATAAAAAATTACCCAGTGAAAAAGAGTATCTACTCTTTGTTGTCTGTCACCTTCACAGGAATGGAAAAATAATTTAAATCTACATATTTGTAAAGTATTGGTAAATCTTAGAACAGAAAATTATTATATTTCAACTGACCAATCTATGGATGTCTTCCCTACCCTTTTTATTAATGCACATTTTTAGCAAGTAGAGAAAATACCCGTTGATCTTGCCAGAAATACAATGTCCTTGTCAATTCCAGTAGGATAAACTGGAAGCAAAAAACTATTTTATCTTGTGTAAACTAATAATCCCATCACCCAACTTGTAATGGAAATGAACAAAGACATCCATAGGTGGATACCATAGCTCCTTCAATAGGTACATTGGAGGAACCACCAAGGGGCAGGAAATGTGGTAATAGCTGGATTACTAGGTAAAAATTAATGATGCAAAACCTGAAAAACTAAAGCAACCACCACATCTGTTATATTTTTGCTTTTGGTTTTTAGATACTTCAACCAAGCTTTGAAATACAGCTGCCACTTATCTGATAGAGCTAAGCTTGCAGATGTAAATAATCTATAACTAAGAGGTACCTTTGGAGCCCCACAAAAACCTAATAACTTACATATGCATGAAATGCTGGTGCTGAGTATCACCCGACCCTATCCTTCAATGCAAAAACCTATTAGAAGGCCCACCACCTGCAGATGCTACAGGATTCATGGGCTTCTTGGGTGACCTGTCATCTGGCAGTGCCTAACTTTCATCTGTAGTCTTTATTCTATCAGTTATATGAAGTGACAGGTTATTAAGTTCACTTGCTGTATTGACTAGCCAAGACAGTTAAAGGTTAGTTAACAGGCAAACATCATCTTGTTGCTGCCCCAATCCATCCTCTGTGCTTTACTCAATTTCTAAGCTAAGGTATTTCACTAAATCCCTGTCCAGTGCTGGAAGGAAGCAGTTAGAGTCAAAGACAATTAAGAGCCTCATCTCATGCCACTTCTTCCCCAGGGTAATACCAAAATTCTTTTCCTGTATTACAATTGAAAAAGCTTTATTTAGAGGTTTGTGATATATTACAAAAGGTTAACCATTAGCTGCCCGGCCAATAGCCATGTGGCGGCCTGCAAAATGCTTTAGCGTTCCGGGTGGACGCCATATGGCATACTCCTGGACATGCCCCCAAAGCGCACCCCCCGGTGGCGCGCAGCGCGCCGGTCTCTTGTCGGCTGTGTCCCATGGACACAGCGCTTTCCCTGATGAGGGTAACAGACAATAAATTTGGCTGTTTACCCTGCGATCAGCTGTGTCCTATCACAGTCGATCAAAAGTATAAACAATGAGCGGTTACTTGTTGTCACCACTTCTCCTCACACACGGATCCTGTGTGAGGAGAAGAAAGGGAACCATGAGTTACAGCTCAGTACAGTGCAGCACATTACAGATTGCCATCAGAGTGTACCTGTCAGCCCATCACAGTGTACCTGTCAGCCCATCAGCAGCCCATCACCGTGTACGTGTCAGCAGCCCATCACCGTGTACCTGTCAGCAGCCCATCACCGTGTACCTGTCAGCAGCCCATCCCGTGTACCTGTCAGCAGCCCATCACGTGTACCTGTCAGCAGTGTGTACCTGTCAGCAGCCCATCACCGTGTACCTGTCAGCCCATCAGCAGCCCATCACCGTGTACCTGTCAGCAGCCCATCACCGTGTACCTGTCAGCAGCCCATCATACCCTGTCAGCAGCCCATCACCGTGTACCTGTCAGCAGCCCATCACCGTGTACCTGTCGGCAGCCCATCACCGTGTACCTGTCAGCAGCCCATCACCGTGTACCTGTCAGCAGCCCATCACCGTGTACCTGTCAGCGCATACAACTGTGCAGCCTGTCAGTGGACCTGTCAGCCTGTCATCAGAGTACCCATAACAGAGCCACCATCACTGCAGCCCATCAGTGGTGTACCCATTACAGTTGCCTGACATACTGCCAACATGTCAAAAAAATATTATTCTAGTGAGGAGGCTTTCCAAATCCTGAGCTCTCACCGTCCAATTCCGATTTGGATTACGAGCCAAGGGAAAGCAGTGGATCGGTGACCGAATCGGAAGAGGAAGTAGTCCCTCCTAAAAGAATAAGATGCTCTGAAGAGCAGGCAACAACGAGCAGCGCTAACATAACAGTGCCATTACACCTAAATAGTCAGTCAGAAAATGCCAACAGAGCTAGACCCCAGGATGACAGGCCCAGTACCAGTACTGGGATATCATGCCAGACCCCAAGAGTCAGGTCCCAAACTTGTCTCCCAAACTATCTGGCAAACCCTTTATACCTCAAAGAATATAGTTTGGAAAAACAAACAAAATTACCACATTTTGGAAAGAAAACATTCCATTGTCTTGGTGCCTGGGACCTTCAAAACTGTGATAGGCAGTCAGGAAATTAGATGTGTAATTTATGCCCCTTTTATCCTCCTAGAAAGCATGAAGGTGCTACTTGGGTGTTGGGTCTCTGTATGTGGCCAAGCTGCGGAAAAGTCTCACACATGTGGTATCGCCATACTCAGAAGGAGTATGCATTTTGGGGCATAATTCTTGATATGTACATGCTGTGTGTTAGAAATATCTTATAAATTGACAACTTTGTGTGAAAAAAAAAAGTTTTCATTTTTCTTTCCACATTTTCTAAAAATGTTTGGAAAAAAATAACATGTTCAAAAGACTCAATATGCCTGATAGAATATACCTTGGGATGTTTGCTTTCCAAAATGGGGTCATTTTGTGGGTGTTTCCACCGTCCTGGTGCTCCAGGGCCTTCAAAACTGTGATAGGTAGTCAGAAAATTAGATGTGTAATTTATGCCACTTCTATTCTCCTACAATGTGTGAAGGTACTACTTGGATGTTGGGTCTCTATATGTGGCCAGGTTGTGGAAATGTCTCAAATGTGGTATCACAATACTCAGGAAGTGTAGCAGAATGTGTTTTGAGGTGCAATTGTAAGTATGTCTATGCCAGGTGTGAGAAATAACTTGTTATTTTGACAATTATGTGTGAAAAAAAATAAAAATAATAATTTATTCATTTTCCAAAGAATTGTGGAAAAAAATTACAACTTCAAATAACTCACCATGTCTTTTACTAAATACTTTGGACTATTTTCCAAAAAGGGGTCTTTTGGGGGCTATTTGTACTTTCCTAGCAAGTTAGGGCCTCAAGAAATGAAATAGGCCATCAGTGCTTCATGTGTGATTAATTTGCAATGATTGGTGCCATAGCTTGTAGACTTTATAACTTTCACACAGGCTAATGCAGGCCATAGATGGGGAGAAAACCTACCAATTTTTCTTTAAAAAAACGAAAAATCGGTCGTTCAAGCTGCCAACGTTGCCAGGAACGGTAAAAAAAAAAAAAAAAAAAAAAAAATATCGGCCTGTCTAGAGCCGGCAAAAAGTGTCCCTGCAGAGAGCTCCGCTATTTCTTTGACAGTTCCTTGACATTTATAGCGGTTGCAACATTGTATCTATTTGTATCCATTTCGGATACAGATGTTTTTATTCGGAAACAAATAGATACAATGTTGCAACCGCTATAAATGTCAAGGAACTGTCAAAGAAATAGCGGAGCTCTCTGCAGGGACACTTTTTGCCGGACTGGAATGCTTCTTCTTCTTCATCCTCTTCTTCTTCTTCTCTTCATCATCTTCTTCATCCTCATCCTCTTCCTCTTCTTCATCTCCTCTCCTCTTCTTCATCATCCTCATCCTCTTCTTCATCATCCTCCTCCTCTTCTTCATCCTCCTCCTCCTCTCTCTTCATCATCCTCCTCCTCTTCTTCATCATCCTCCTCCTCTTCTTCATCATGCTCTCTCTTCTTCTTCATCCTCTCCTTCATCCTCCTCCTCTTCTTCATCCTCCTCCTCTTCTTCTTCATCCTCCTCCTCTTCTTCAAGCTCTTCTTCTTCTTCAAGTTCTTCTTCTGCTTCTTCAAGCTCTTCTTCTTCCTTTTCTTCTTCTTCTTCCTCTTCCTCTTCCTCTTCTTCTTCTTCCTCTTCTTCTTCTTCCTCTTCTTCTTCTTCCTCTTCTTCTTCCTCTTCTTCTTCCTCTTCCTCTTTTTGTCTTCCTCTTGCAGGTCACTGCTCATGGGCAGATTTCTTTTTATCGGTAAAAAGATCGGCCGATTTTCCCATAATTGCCACGAAAATTGGCCGATCTGCAAAATCGGCCGATCTTTTTCCAACTTTATCAATAAAAAAAAATCTGCCAAAATACCGAAAAACGGCCGAACAATTAGCCCACTAACGATCCGAAAATCGGCCGATTTTATTTTCGGCCGAAAAATCGGCTGATTTTCGACCCATCTATGGCCTGCATAAATAATATACACTGATTTGTTTGTTTTTTTTACCAAAGTTATGTAGCAGAATACATTTTTGCCTAAATTTATAAGGAAAAATTACTTATTTGCAAAATTTTATAATAGAAACAAAGAAAACCTTATTTTTTTTCTAAATTTTCAGTATTTTTTTGTTTATAGTGCAAAAAATAAAAAACCCAGGGGTGATTAATTACACAAAAAGAAAGCTCTATTTGTGGGGAAAAAATGATAAAAATTTCATATGGGTACAATGTTGCATGACCGCGCAATTATCATTCAAAGTGCGACAGCACTAAAAGCTGAAAATTGGCCTGGACAGGAAGGGGGTAAAAGTGCCCGATATGAAAATGATTAAAGTACTGTAAGGCAAGCCAAAGATATGATATGGAGGTCAGATGATAAGATAGCCATACAGTTGCGTGATTGTCTGAACTTGTTTACCTCTGGGTAAAAATTGTTTTTTGTAGAGTTTTTTTGAGCGTTTTTCCAGCAGAAAAAACCGCTAAACACTCCTAAATGTTGCTAAACGCTACTGAACATTCCTAACCACTTTTTTTTCCCTTTTACTGTAAAAATGGTAATAAAAAGCTAATGCTTCTAAATGCTCCTAAAATACTACTAAAAAAACACTTATCAGCGTTTTTTTATTCCTATTCTTAAAAAAAAAAAAAAAAAATAGAGTGCATGGAGCCAGGTTGGAGTAAAATGACAGGAGTTAATAAGCTGTGGGCACTGTTAAAGTCTACCATCCTGGAGGAAACCTGATTATGTCAGGCAAATTAGTAAGAGTAAAAAGAAGAGAAAACCAGTATGGTTCACAATGGCTGAGGCCATTGGCATTACACCGTTCTCACAGGAGTCCTCATGACAGGTTTGAGCAGCGTCCATCCTCCCTCTTCGCACACTGCCCAGTGCCTGGAACAACTCAGAACCAGGAGCGGACTGACAACTCATGGAGCCCCCCGGGCAATAGGGGATCATGGGACCCGTGTCCTCGCCCAAACTCAAAAAAGCCTATGAAAAAGGTACCATGGGCATCTCATGGGGCCCCCTACTGACCCCGGGCCCTCGGGCAGCGCCCGAGTTTCCAAATGGTTAGTCCGCCCCTGCTCAGGACACCGCTCCCCTCTTCCTTGCCGAGGGGGGATGATTACATTTAATCCAGCCTCGAGCAGCGCCAAATGCTTGCTACATGATTTTTTAATGTCTGCTATAAAACATAGCCAATTAAAAAGTTTAACAAATCAAATTTCTTCATGAATTTAGGCCAATATGTATTCTGCTACATATTTTTGGTAAAGAAGATCCCAATAAGCATGTATTGATTGGTTTGAGCAAAAGTTATAGTGTCTACAAATAGCAGTATATATATTGGAATTTTAATTTATTTAAATTATTTATTTTTTTATACCAGTAATGGCAGCGATCAGCGAGACTGCAATAGTGCGGCGGACAATCGGACACTGATACTTTGTGGAAACAAGGGACACTACTACAGTGATCAATGCTAAAAATATGCACTGACACTGTGCTAATGACACTGGTTAGGAAGAGAAACATCTAGGGCGATCAAAGGGTTAACTGTGTGCCTAGCTAGTGCTTTTGTGTAAACTGTGTGCTGCTTTTATTAAGGGAAGTGATGGCTCATCGCGTCCCCTGTCAGAACAGAGTTCTGCCTTGTTTACATAGGCAGAGCTCCGTTCTGTCTCTCTCCCTGATGACCAGCAGGTTCCGGCGGACATCCACTGCCCGCCACCTGCAGGTCGGTTTCTGCTGTGAATACTCATCGCCCAAGCAGCCTGCCGGCGGTGCACATGCATGCCCCCTAGTAAGAAGTGCAGGATCAAGTTTATATATGTGATTTTGCACAGAAAGGCCACCCTGTAGTAGTATATCTGCTATGGGGTGGTCCTAAAGTGGTTACGAAAAGAGGAAAAGCCTTTTTTAGGTACATCAGTGATAGAAGGAAAAAAATACAATGGGATCACTAAATCACAAACCAGGCGACAACACTTATGTTGAGAGCAGGGGCGGACTGACAACTCATGGGGCCCCCGGGCATTAGGGGATCATGGGGTCCCTGTGTCCTTGCCCAAATTCAAAAAAGCCTATGAAAAAGGTACCAGGGGCATCTCATGGGGCCCCCTACTGACCCCAGGCCCTCGGGCAGTGCCCGAGTTTCCATATGGTCAGTCCGCCCCTGGTTGAGAGAGACCTGGATGTAGCCAACCATTTAAACAATTGCTTCTGTTCAGTCTCAAAGAAATTGTTCTTACAATGCCAAGTTGGGGGATCATATTGTTTCTAGAAATGACAGTTCATATTAAGGATTTCTGGAGGTAGCAGAGGAACTGGTTAAAGCTTAATAATGCAATGGGCCCTGATGGTAGAGCTCTAAGAGAAGTTTGGGGTATAGTTGCTGAACCATTAACAGATATTTTAAATCAATCTCTTCCAACAGGAGATTTTTGCAATTACTTTTGGACAGCTAACATGCAGCAATTACAGGCCAGAAGGATCATTGATCACTTAAAAACATACACCTTGCTGGACCCAAAGCAGCATGGCTTTACAGAAGGCAGCTCATGTCAGACTAATCTGGTTTAATTTTTTGGACCAGGGTTTTTTTGTGGACATAACCTATCTTGATTTCAGCAAAGCATTTGATACAGTTCCACATAATGATCGAATATAAAAGATGTAAAAGCTAGGACTTAACCCTTGGGTGGTTCAGTGGATATGCAGTTTGCTAAAGGATAGATACCAGACTGTGTAAATGGGGTTCATTCAGAACAGAGAGCAGTCACTAGTGGTGTACCGAAAGGCTTTGTAATAGGTCCTGATCTATTTAATCTATATGTAGGTGATATAGCTAAAGGGTTGGTGACTAAGGTATGTATTTTTGCTGATGACACAAAGGAGTGCAATAGGGTTGATATCCCTAGAGGTGTCTGTTACTTTGAACTTTATTTGGCATTTCAGGAAGATTGGTCAAAGCAGTGGAAATTGTAGTTCAATGTTTCTAAACGTAAAATAATGCACATAGGGAAAAATAATCCATTGAGAGAGTACAATATTGGGGGTACAGTGTTGGCCAAACACTACAAAGGAAAAATATTTGGGTTACTTATGTCATATGATTGCAAAATGAGCAAACAATGTGACCAGGCAGTAAGAAAAGTGAATAGAATTCTTCAAAACTAATTTTAGAAAGTATTATTTTATGAAAGGGCAGATGATACTTGGAATAGTAAGTACGTGGATTCAGACATGCTTGGGACAAACATAGATCTATGCTCAGCAGGGGCGGACAAACCATTTGGAAACTCGGGCACTGCCCAAGGGCCCAGGGTCAGTAGGGGGCCCCATGAGATGCCCCTGGTACCTTCTTCATAGGCTTTTTTGAGTTTGGGCAAGGACACAGGGGCCCCATGATCCCCTATTGCCCAGGGGTCTCATGAGTTGTCAGTCCACCCCTGATGCTCAGACCAAAAAAAAAAAAAAGGGGTTAGACTTGATTGACCATTTGGTCTTTTTTCTGCCATTACTCTTCTATGAACCTACTACTTGGTGAGTCACTAATCTGGAATGAGTGTGTGCATCTTAGGCATCAGATAACCGTCCTGGACAGCAAGGACAGATCCTTTACTTCTATCCAGACCCTCATTTAAACCAAAGAAGAAATAGTTCACTGAAGGATTATTTCCTCTTTGGACAAGATCCATAAAAATGCACTGGGCTTATGGGCCAGATAAGTTCTTGTCTAAATGTCATCCTCAAACTGGAGTCAGATAAGGCATCAGGGGTTTGTGGATAACAGAGCTTGAGGTGATTGTAGCCGTATTAGTGCATTTGCGGCAGAAACAATTGAGTACTGTCTGTGATACTTTTTTTATTTGCACTAACATACAATTTTGAGGACAAGCTTTTGGGGTATGTCCCCTTCTTCAAAGTCCAAACAGGTACTGTTTGGACTTTGAAGAAGGGGACATACCCCGAAAGCTTGTCCTCAAAATTGTATGTTAGTGCAAATAAAAAAAGTATCACAGACAGTACTCAATTGTTTCTGGATAGCAGAGCAATGACAGAAAAAATAATAAAGCATTGTGTGTGTCTGTGTGTATATGGTCAGTAGATTATAGGATTCTTTAAGTCATCACTTACCCCAGGCATGACCACTCTTTCAACATCTTTCATAATCTCATCAAATGTCTCTCCTTCTTCTGGAGCTGAATCAGGGATCAGTGGCCTTAAATATCCAGGTTCCACGCTTGGAAAAACCTGTCTTGATTCAATCTGCTCCATGTAGTCAGCTATGTAATCCACCATTTCTTTTCCTCTTTTCCTGAATTCTGAAGAGTTCATCTTGATATGTTCTCTACGTATGTAAACAATGTAGACAAAACATAATACACCATCAAACTTGGGCAGAATTTTCTTTTCGTATTCATTGTACTACAGTAGATAATATCCTAACGGGATTTGAGAAAAAAAAATGCACCTGCATGTTATGACATATGTCAAGACTAAGTCTTAAATATTGTTGCTGACCTTTTGATACAGTTTTAAGATATCTTTGCAAGTTGTTAAATACCAACCTCCCCAATTCATTTTCAATCACTGCATATAGATAAAATAGGTTAAGGCCTGACTCCAGCAAATTGCATTTTTTGACAATTTTGGGTAGTGAGAAAGGTTGGTTTTTCAGTCAGTGACCCAATTAGAAAGGGTTTCTCTCACCTCCTATCCCTGTATAAGGAAAATTGGGCGAACATTCATCACAGGGACTGGAAGGCAAAGACAGCAATAAAAACATTGTCAGATATTCTAACCATTCTCACTCTTAAAGTGAAACTAAACGCAAGACCCTGCATTCACTATATCTGGTCTCCATAGCACACAGAACATGGAAATGCAATTATTTTAGTAAATATAAACTGCTAAATACCTTTTCTCACCAGCAGTCTGAGCATCTTGTGACTTCAGCAGAGAGCACTGGTTAAAGCTTATAGGAGGAGTTTTCTTTCTGCTCTAGGAGGATGCAAAACCCCTGACCGTCTGTCTGGACAGTGCTGATCATATGCACTCTCCCAAGACAAAAAAAAAAAAAAAAACTATCTAGAAATACACACCAAACTGAGCATGTGCATGTGGCTACGGGTTCAGTCTGTCTTATCAGGTAGAAATTTGAACAAGAGGAGGGGCAGAGAAAACAGGATCAAATGGACTTTACACAATGCAGACGATTAACCCCTTAGGTTCCACAGTGAGTATAACAAGCATGCTTTACTGCATATACAACTGATTTTACTGTTGTGGGTTTAGTAACACTTTAACTAAAAACATTTTGTCTGTGTCCCCATTGGAGATATTTCCAACAAGGGCACATATGCTCTGACCCTTCCCTGCTCTATGAGCTTTAGCAGCTTTAATACATGTATGCCAAATGTTTACAATAGTATAATCTGTTATATATACAGTATTTATCTAGCTAGTCAAAATTAACACCAAATGGCAATTATGCATTACCCATGTTTATTCTTCAAAAAGATAAAAGTCTTTCCTTCTAGGAACTTTGAATGCAAGATGTCAGTTCTGGAATAAAGTACAAGGCTTCAGCAGCACACTCAGTCTTGTGTGGCCTCCATCTCTGGGGGGCTTCAGCAGGCTTTTCACACACTGCGAGACTCTAATCAGGCAGCTTCTCTGTCGGGTGTCAGAGGTGGTATTCCGTACCATAAAAATCATCAAAGTCTAGGGCTAAAATGACCCAATCTAGGATTAGCCTCCACATCATCCAAGGCCATGTTGCACACTTAAGGCTTGTGTCAATGGGCTTTTATTTGAATCAGAACTGCTTATTTCCCTATACAAGTCTATGGGAATGAAAAAGAAGCTGAAGCAAGTGAAATGCATGTCAGTTGCACCTGCAATGAATTCTGAATGATCTCAGAAAGGTCTCAAAAAGTGTGCTGCATTTGCCCACTGAAGCTTGTAGAAACAGGCCCCAAGTATAATATATGCACCACCTGCTGGAGTCCCTGCATTTTCTGGGTTTAGTCAGAAACAAATTCACCACTCTGCCCACTGCATTGTGTGGTGCCTCAGAAAACTATCACTAGTTACCAGAATTATCTGGTGGAGGAAAGGCCAAAGGCAAAAGTAAGTGATTATGAAAAAGGTCAGTATTTGCATAGGTTTAGGAGAGGAGGTCCAGGTGCTGCTGCATTGATTGATTGATTATAAAACTAGAGATATGCGTTGCCAAAAGTGTGTATTGCATATTGCTTTGTCATGGGTCTCCTATAGAAAAGTTTTAGTGTGGTTTGTAAAATTTGGTGGCCTTTTTTGTATTAAAAAAAAAATAAAATTATATGTGTGTATATATATATATATATATATATATATATATATTATAGTACATAATTGCTGACCTAAACTTAGTGTTATCAACTTTATCTAAGTATTTCCGCAGTACTTTCTACCATTTAGAAGCTAACTGGATGAGATTTTCATGTGCTTGTAAATATATATAAAAAAAAAAAACCTATAGAAACGATGCACTATACCTTTACAATTTATTAGAATGATACTTTGAAAAAAAAACTCAAACATATCATACAAAAGTACTATGCGACTGTAAATGAATTAAACATTTAAAGGGTGAGCTCAGGTGAGGGATCACCTTCCCTGGGAACAAAGGTAGACCGCACAGCAGGCTCTTTAAAATCTGACTGGTCATCAGTTTTTATTCAAAAGGTTGCAAAATATCAAAACAAACAAAACAGAAAAATAAACCCTTGCCATCCAGGCACTAACTAAACACAGACATTTTCCTCTCTCACTGGTGAAGGGCTTCTCCCTGTCACCAACAAAGACGAAACAATACGCAAACCTTTTTTTTCTGGTTCATATACCACACACTTTCATACACAGTTCTCTGAATCCCAGACCACACACAGCTCCTTGCTCCAGCCCTGCCTTATTTATACCACCTGCTGGTGGTCATCAGTGGAGCACAAAATCCTGTCCAGAACCACCTCTGCCATTGTGGCCCAGAAAACCCGGAGTGGACTCTACTTTAAACTCCCAAGTATGATTGTATGCGAGGTGACAAATAGACCCTGATTTACTATTGAGCCTAGGCACATTTCTGTGGGCTAACGTCTACTTTTTAATAGCGACCGTCTACTTTTAGACGGCAAAGACATTTACTGAAGAAGGCGTCAACAAGTAGACGCCAAATCGAATTTACTAACCAGGCACAATCCAGGAATCAGACTCAAAAAGCAGACTTACTAAGAAGCACGTCTAACACCCTGAAAAATCACTGCAGAGACATGTTCACATTGAAATTTGCTTTGCCAAATATCAGGACTTCACTTTAAACAATATCTGACATTTCAAAAAAAAATTTTTAAAATGTGTAAAAAATGTTTTTTTTAAAAGCAAGTCGTCACAGTGAAGAACTAGACGCTTTTCCAACGTCTATGATATAAATGCGCATGTGCAGAACACATTTTAGACGTCTGCCGTGGGCGCTTTCTTTTTAGCCACTGTTCAATAGTAAATCTCTGTGTGGAGTCCCCTGACAGACGGCACTCGGTCGCGTCTACTGTGTTTAACAAACAGCACTATTTGTAGTTAGGCATATCTTTATGTATTCTAATTTGATTTCCTTAGTTCTATTGATTCTGGTTTTTTTTCTTATCCTTTATAATTATTTCTGTAGTGATTTTACTTATTTCAAAGGTCTAGATAATATATATTTTGACAGCTGAATCTAAAAATAAACATCTGCAATAAAAAAAAAAAAAAAGGCGTGGGGTCCCCCCTCCTATCCATACCAAGCCCTTTGGGTCTGGTATGGATATTAAGGGGTAACTCCACGCCAAAATGAAAAAAAAAAAACGGTGTGGGGTTCCCCCCAAAATCCATACCAGACCCTTATCCGAGCATGTAGCCCAGCAGGTCAGGAAAGGGGGGGGGCGAGGGAGCACCCCCCCTCCTGAACCATAAAAGGCCACATGACCTCAACATGGGGGTTGCTTTGGGTCAGGGGGGCCCCCCCCCCAAAGCACCTTGTCCCCATGTTGATGGGGACAAGGGCCTCCTCCCCACAACCCTGGGCGGTGGTTGTGGGAGTCTGCTGGTGGGGGGCTTATCAGAATCTGGAAGCCCCCTTTAACAAGGGAGCCCCCAGATCCCGCCCTCCCCTACGTGAATGAGTATGGAGTGCATGGTACCGCTACTAATTCACAAAAAAACTAAAAGTGTAGTGTAAAAAAAAACACAGGACATGCTCTTTGACAAGTCCTTTAATAAAAGAAAAATCTCAAAGAATGTCCCCCTAAGGGCCTGGACTAATGATTGATTTGATAATGCTGGTTTGCACTCCACCCCCTTTTGGGAAGGTTTGTCAAACCATGAGAAGAGTGAGCGAGAGAGAGAGAAAAGGATTTTAAAAAAAAAATTAATAAAATAATGGCATGGAGCGCCCCCCCCCCCCCCCCCCCCCAAATCCATAACAGACCCTTATCCGAGCATGCAGATACCGCATGCCTTCAAAGATTTATTTGCTTTGTTGAATTGCCTGCTTGGTTCACACTCGATGCGATTTAAAATTGTGCTTTTTGTTGGCAATTTCACCGTGTTTTCTGTAGATTTACCAATGAGTTATTGCGTTTTAAATTGTGTTTTGCATTGCGGTTTCTATTGTAGTCTATATGTGAAATCGCTACAAAATGCTGAAAAAGTTAGACTAGAACTACTTTTGAAATTGTGCTGCAGCAAATCGCTGACATTAAGACACTCACCTCCACATTCATTAGATACGATATCAGGTACAATTAAAATTCCCAAATCACACCTTAAAATGTGCACATTGGACAATAAGGTGCAACTTGGCCTACAATTTGCAAGTCGCCTAGCATGCAAGTTGCATGCCAAATTGCACCCGATGTAACTGGGGGCCACCCTGGTCACATCAAAGTGGATTTTGAAGTGGTGCGACTTACACTATGGTCACATCATGTGACTTACAGTGAAGTCGCATGATTTCAAAGTCGGGGGACATGCTGATTTAAAGTGCGATTTGCAAGACATCTGACACAGATCTCTCTGCAAATCACATTAAAGTAGTGTATTCATTACTTTAGAAATTGTTGCAGCTCCAACCAAGTTTGAACCACACCAATATGAACACTCTAATAGCAGTCACATTGAGTGCGACTTGGCATGTGATTTGCATGACATGCGACTTGCAAATCGTATGCCAAGTTGCACCCTATTGTCTGCTAGTAGAGCAGTCACATGGGTGCGTTTCCGACACTGATTTCTAAAGCAGTACATGTACTGCTTTTGTGGCGATTTGCATAGATATATATATATGTCAGATGTCTTGCAAATTGCAAGGAAATTGGCATCTTCATTGTACGTCGCACAATTTCTAAATCGGCTTTGATGTGACCGGGGTGTAAGGCCTTTTTATGTTTGATTTCCTGAGTGTTTTTTCCGATTTATGGGAAATGCCGCATACTAGCAAAAGTGAATTGACCTTTTCAGTATTGCATGCGAGATGTGGTCATGTGACTGCCTTAACTCATGCGATAATCTGGAGTGAATTGTGCCCATAGTGCCAAGAAATATTGCCATGGGGTTCCCCTTCACATCCCTGTCCAATGTTCTGTTGTATGCTGCACAGGTACACTTCACTGTGGCTTTCTTTCTGACTCTGATTTGCGGGGGCCTGTATACCAAGGGTTAACGCAGGTGGGAAGAGGATTCATCAGATGCAAACACTTTCTCTGACCAAATGAATGACAGTGGTGGGTGTGGCCTATGTTATATAGAAAGTTGCAGTAGTGGGTGATTTTTTGCCTTGTACAGGCACATTATTTTCTGCAAGTTCTTGCCTGTGGAGGTTTGGGGAGGAAGAGATATTGTGGTGAATTGCCCCCAGGCCACACTCACGCTGTGTGTTTTGATGTGGGCTGTAAATGGTTTGCATTTTTTTCCTTCTAAGGTGTGTTTGTGTGTTATTGTACAATGAATGTGTGTTTATTATCTTTGCATTGTAATCCTAACACATGTCAATTGCTCTGCTCTTCCAAATTTGCTTTATTTAAGTGTCCGTTTATGAATCAGCGGTAATAGATCGCTGCTCAGTTCTCCAGCATTCTCGGAGAACACAGTTCTCCTGTGAATGCCTTTTATGAAGCAGTTCTCCAAACACTGGAGAATGGTCTACAAACGCTGGAGAACGGTGTACAAACACTGGAAAACGGCTGATTTTACTATAATCTCACGAGATTACAGTAAAAGATCAGTTTACTAAGCAGAGGTAAATTATCTCTGCTTAGTTTGCGGTCCCTCCGATTCTCCAGCTCTGGGCTGGAGAATCTGGAGGGAGAACACAGATCTCCAGAAAGGCTGAACAGTTCTCCGCTGATCTCCTGAGTGTCATAAACTGTGAATGACCAGAGAATAGATGCGATCCTCTGAATCACAGCTATTCTGTGTGTCATAAACGGACACCTTAGACTGAAATGCAGTTTTCAGACAAACCTGATGAGAAATGTATGTGTGGGGGATTTGGGGAGGTGGGAGGTGTTTTATTTTGGCACGTATGTATTTTTATATTGATATTTTGATCTACAGCTTGTTTTGTGGATAGATAAGCCTACTACGTGATTCATATTAACTGTTTGTTTCCTGCTGTAACCTGTGAAAGCACAGTTCATTATAAGTATAATCTTTTAGATTGTAAGCTCTTATGAGCAGGACTGTTCTATTTTAGCAACATCAATCCTGCTTCTTTTTTTTTTTTTCACCAAGAAATTGAATGTACCTACTTGTTGTTGCTGTCCAAATAAATGTGGAATGTGTATTTGATCAATAAACATTTGGACTATGTATTTTTTGGGGGGATTATTTCATGTTCTAGTTGAATGTACTAGCACCCTGAACACTTATTTTTGCTAGCTATATAATATGCCCAAATCTTCCTTGTTAGAGCGCACATATGCAAGCATGTCCAAACTAACAAACCAAAAGCCCATTATTGCACGACAAGACCATGTTATGTACCAGTCAGGGGTGGACTGACCATTTGGAAACTCGGGCACTGCCCGAGGGCCCGGGGTCAGTAGGGGGCCCCATAAAATGCCCCTGGTACCTTTTTCATAGGCTTTTTTGAGTTTGGGCAAGGACACAGGAGCCCCATGATCCCTTATTGCCTGGGGGCCCCATGAGTTGTCAGTCCGCCCCTGGTACCAATGAATAGGTCATGTTCAATGTCCAGCTAGCTATTTTTTTTTCTACAATCCTCTTAACAGTAATAAATTAGGCCCCCAATTTATGTTGACTTTGGGCCTTTACCAGCAAATATATATTCACCAATGTCATATACACAGTAGAGCTCATTTGCTGGGGAAACATTACTAATAATTGTTGTATTTTCAGTTGAAAACATGTCCAATTCCAAGATCCTTTGAGGTACATAGCAGAGCTCCAAGGTATTCCATAGAAGAAGTTATTGTTCTTCCTAACTATACAGGTGGCACAGACACAAGCATACACCCAGGGCCACTGTTAGATATCATGGGGCCCCGTACAGCATACCTGACAGCCCCCCACCGGCAGAGAAAATATCCAAATTTATAATTATGGTAAAAAATACACTAAAAAACATTATTAATGGACACAATCCCAAACAAATTCCTGTGAAATCTAAAGGATAAAACTGTACTGAGTCCATAAAATAAAGCTGTAATTGTGTAATTGAGGTGTAATTGAGGTCTTGGGGCTCATGGGTGCTGTGGCCTGTAGAGTGGGGAATTAGTGGTTTGTTTTTGTGGCTGTCACCATTTGCAGGCAACCTATGTTACACTATGGAATTGCTGCAGGTCATAATTTGACAAGCATATGGGTGCAGGTGTACAGCACCCTGAAACACAGACAGTGAGCATTCAGGGCCACTTCCCCACACCTTCACACCTGTTAGATTAAAACCTGTGTTCATACAGCTGCTGTGTCCCCATAGTGTAACAGGTGTCTCCAGCCACATGAAAACCCCCCCATTCATGCTGTACAGGCCAGAGGACCTGTGTGAATGAGGCATTCTTTACTTTTTTCCTCACAATCTGCAGGGGACATTGCATTTCTTTGCTGTGCTGGATGGAAAAAACGTGCTCTTGCATGCGTTTCTGCACACAAAAAGTCCTAAGGGTAAGTTCACACTATAGAAATACAGTCTAGATGTGTTCAGATGTGTTTTTTCATGTACTTTTTTGATGCATGTTTAGCGTGTTCCAGAGCATTTTGGATGGATTTTTGATGTGTTCCACTGCATTTTGGATGAGTTTTTGGTGTGTTCCAGTGCATTTTGGATGCGTTTTTGACGTGTTCCAGTGCATTTTTTATGCATTCCAGTAAATTTTTTTCCCCTCTCTTTTTCTTAAATGTAATTAGGGACATGTACGTTTTAATGCATTCCAGAGCATTTTTACCGCGTTTCAGTACAGTTCTATGCATAAACAATGCAGCCTGTTCGACTGTTACAGCAGTGACGGTGACAGCACACTGCAATGCACTGGAACTGCAAGTGCTGATGTGAACTATCACATTGACAACCATATAACCTTCTTTCTGTGCGTTTTGGATGCAAAAAAAGCAACTGAAAACACATGTAGTGTGAACTGGCCCTAAAGGTTATTATAGGTCAGGGAACAGGACTGACCAGGAATTGTGAATTCAATCAGATTAGTGGTGAAATACAATCAGGAATCATATAATAATGTGAGATCTGAGCTGGAGGTGATAGGAAATGAGACACATTAACTTGATCAGTAAATAAATAGTTACATAAAAGAGTGGGGCGGTGTCGATACATAGATTGGCAGATGGAACAGGTGATGACTGGGGGGGAACAGGTGATGACGGGGTGGTGGGGGAGGGAAACAGGTGATGACGGGGGTGGGGGACAGGTGGATGACAGGGGGGTGGGGGAGGGGGGCGGTCAAGTGAATATAAGGAGAGAGGTTTTAAGGACTGTTCACACTTGACTTTATTTCTAACTCTTGCCAAGCGGCCCTTATAGCGTTTGACAAGTGTTTGGGAAGCATTTTTTTTACGCTCCTCAAATGCTCCCCAAACACCCTATGTGTGGTGGTTGTGAGGTATGTGATAAGCATTTACCAAGCGTTAAAACTGCACCACAAATTGCCTGTAATGACGTTAAATGGTATTAACGCTCTGAAAACGCCTCGCAACGCGCACCACAAACGTCTGCCAGGCAATTGAGGAGCGGCACCATAGACTTGAAATGGGCGGCTTCAACTCCTCCTGACTCGACATGAGGCACCAGTTTTCCCGTGACGCAATGCTAACGCTTCAGTGGTGAACAGCACTGTGTGCTGCCATGTGCAGAATTTTTCATAGGCGTTTGAGAAGCGTAAAAAAACGCTTCCCAAATGCCTGTCTGACGCCTGCTGACAAAGCTAGTGTGAACGTAGCCTTAGAGAAGATAAACAAAGTTGTAATGAAAATAATAAACAGAAGGAAAATTGAAAGTTTCAAACTTGTCAGAAGAACAGGACACAGGTAAGATTCACTCCCTTTCCACTCAGTAGCCAAAATCTTAATTAATTGATCAATATTCCTGGAACTGACAGAACCCTGGAAATTGATCTTCATATTTTGGGCATTCACAAATGTCAAGGAGCTTACAATCTAAGACCAGAAACTCAGACATATACTAGGCCCAATTAACCTAACAGCATGTCTTTGGTGTGTTGGCAGAAACACACCCGTGCAGAGAAAGCATGCAAACTGGGATGCAGACAGGTGCAGCCATGACTGGGATTAGAACCCATGACCCAAGTGCTGTAAATTCTGAGTTCTAACCACTAAGCCATTGTTGGAGACAGAGCTCGAGCTGCAATGTAGAATAGTTACATTGTTTTAAAAATAATGATAAAGCGAGCGCTGGTAAAAGGTAAATCTAGGTATAAATATATGAAGGTAGCAACTAGCACTCAGGGTATTGGCAACAGCCCCAAAATAGAAATATGTTAAAGTAATAGTGCAGCACTATAAATGCATGTTATCAAACATAAACGCATGTAAAATCAAAAAAGTGTAAATAAGTGCAATAATGATGTAAACTGGTAAATGGTGCTAAAAAAAAGTTCATATAATCATTCCTGAATAATGTTAAAGTAATAGTGCAGCGCTATAAATGCGTGTTAACAATCATAAACGCATGCAAAGTCAACAAAGTGCAAATAAGTGCAATAATGATGTAAACTGGTAAATGGTGCTAAACAAAGTTTCAGTTCATATAATCATTCCTGAATAATGGAATGTCCTTCGTGTGAGAGTACCAACTCAGAGAGTGCCCTATGAATGGCACGTGTGGTTTATATGTGACGGACAGTAGTGCATGAACTCGTGAAAGGTAATCCACCCTTGGGACAGGTGTACACTCACCAGAACAAAAGTATTAATGCGCATGGGTTATACACATCACACATCTGGGGGTGCAGATTTGTGATGAATGATGAATTGTTTTTATTCATCATTACAGAACATGTACAACTGTCAACATTGAATAATAAGGTACATAGTTTGCTGTTAGGTGTCAGGATATGAAACCACATTTGCATCATCAGAACATTCCCACAGTACATATCATTGGGAGTTACAGGAAAGCACATGGTTAGCTAAGAGATAAGGGGAAATACACAGATAGGTACATTATCAGCAGATAATTCCACAATAGGGAACATTAGATATTTCGACCCAGGCAGAGGTACCAAATCAATGGCTGAGTGGTCTATACAGGAGTCTGAAGAGGAAGCTGGGGGCAGGAGGAGGAGGAGGAGGAAGCCAAGGGTCTGAGGAGGAGGAGGGGGGGGGGATAACATCAGATCAACCATGGTTGCTGAGGGGATCCCATAGCACTGCACTTAATGTATTCTAAAGCAGAATTACCTGCATGCTCCAAACTCCCATCTGGTCTTCCAGTTCTCAGAATCTATGTGCCTTGGGGAGACATGGGCTTGAATCCAACGTAAACTACTCCAAAGGTCCCCCCAGGCACCCAACAAAGAATGTAGCCCCTTCAGATACCAAGGCCATAGTCAGTAGTCCCCTACAAAAAGCCCCTGTCCCGGTTGTGGCTGTCGCACCTCTCTTAGCCCAAGTCTCCCCACCCCCTCCTAGCAAAAATTCTCACACCCAATCCCCCCTTCTAAAACATATTCCCCCAATCCCCCCTCCTAGGACATATCCCCCCCCACAAATCTCTCTTCCTAGCACTTATACCCCCCTCCGCAGCACATAACTCTCCCAATCCTACTTACTAGCACATATCCCCCTACCAATCCCCCTCCTAGGACATCTCCCTCCCAATCCCTGCTCCTAGCATATATTACCCCACCAATTCCCATTTCTAGCACATATCCCCCTCATCCCCCTCCTAGCACATATCCCTGCAATCCCCCCTAATAGAAAATATCCCCCCAATCCTCCTCTTAGCACAACCCCTCCCCCCAAATTACCCTAACCAGCGCAAAGCGCCTCCCGCCCCCCACCCCCTTCCTCCGCAAACCTCTCATCCCAAGCACAAATTATTGATTACCCCCCCCCCACATAACCACTCTGTTCCCAGTAAAATTTTCTATATTTCTATTTGAAGTGCTCTTCTCTTTGCTACATGGCAATACACAATATGTGAGACATTAGATGTATGGTCAGCTGATATCTTTAACTACCCATCTGCTGGCTCATCTATTTAAAGTGTAAATGACCTCATTCTGCCTTGGGGTCCACTCTTAAATTTTAAGAGTTTACATATGTCACAGTGGTGCAGCTGACATCATGGGAAGAGTTCTTAATTGGAAACTGACCAAGGATTGCTCCACTGCACAGTTCATTTTCTTCATGGGATGTTTGGAATCAATTATTTTATTAATTTTAAAATTATATGTATCCATATATATGATCGTGGTGTTCATTTACATTCATGTAGTATTTTTTGTACAATATCGTATGTATAGGTTTTTTGCACAGTATTTTTCACATGAATTGTATCA